TCAGGTATTCTACATTTATAAAACTAGAAGTACAATAAATAAAAAACGAGCACAACGAGTAAAAATCATAAAATGAGAAAAATCATACATGGTGCCAAGCAATTCCTCTTCCCAGCTTCTGTTGTTGCTTGAGTGATTACTACCACAGGCATCATCATTATTTTTATGTGGGAGCGGATGGCGAGTACAGAGGTGGGGAGGTTCTGTGGGAGCGGGTGGCGAGTACAGAAGTAGGGGGTTCTGTGGGAGCGGATGGTGAGTACAGAGGTAGGGAGTTCTGTGGGAGCGGATGGCGAGTACAGAGGTAGGGGGGTTCTGTGGGAGCGGATGGTGAGTACAGAGTAAGGTAGGGGGTTCTGTGGGAGGGGATGGTGAGTACAGAGGTAGGGGGGTTCTGTGGGAGCGGATGGTGAGTACAGAGGTAGGGAGGTTCTGTGGGAGCGGACGGTGAGTACAGAGGTAGGGGGGCTCTGTGGGAGCGGATGGTGAGTACAGAGGTAGGGAGGTTCTGTGGGAGCGGATGGTGAGTACAGAGGTAGGGAGGTTCTGTGGGAGCGGATGGTGAGTACAGAGGTAGGGAGGTTCTGTGGGAGCGGATGGTGAGTACAGAGGTAGGGAGGTTCTGTGGGAGCGGATGGTGAGTACAGAGGTAGGGGGGCTCTGTGGGAGCGGATGGTGAGTACAGAGGTAGGGAGGTTCTGTGGGAGCGGATGGTGAGTACAGAGGTAGGGGGGTTCTGTGGGAGCGGATGGTGAGTACAGAGGTAGGGGGGTTCTGTGGGAGCGGATGGTGAGTACAGAGGTAGGGGGGCTCTGTGGGAGCGGATGGTGAGTACAGAGGTAGAGGGGGGTTTCTGTGGGAGCGGATGGTGAGTACAGAGGTAGCGAGGTTCTGTGGGAGCGGATGGTGAGTACAGAGGTAGGGAGGTTCTGTGGGAGCGGATGGTGAGTACAGAGGTAGGGAGGTTCTGTGGGAGCGGATGGTGAGTACAGAAGTAGGGGGGCTCTGTGGGAGCGGATGGTGAGTACAGAGGTAGGGGGTTCTGTGGGAGCGGATGGTGAGTACAGAGGTAGGGGGGTTCTGTGGGAGCGGATGGTGAGTACAGAGGTAGGGGGGTTCTGTGGGAGCGGATGGTGAGTACAGAGGTAGGGAGGTTCTGTGGGAGCGGATGGCGAGTACAGAGGTAGGGGGGTCTGTGGGAGCGGATGGTGAGTACAGAGGTAGGGGGGTTCTGTGGGAGGGGATGGTGAGTACAGAGGTAGGGGGGTTCTGTGGGAGCGGATGGTGAGTACAGAGGTAGAGGGGTTCTGTGGGAGCGGATGGTGAGTACAGAGGTAGGGAGGTTCTGTGGGAGCGGATGGTGAGTACAGAGGTAGGGAGGTTCTGTGGGAGCGGATGGTGAGTACAGAGGTAGGGAGGTTCTGTGGGAGCGGATGGTGAGTACAGAGGTAGGGAGGTTCTGTGGGAGCGGATGGTGAGTACAGAGGTAGGGGGGCTCTGTGGGAGCGGATGGTGAGTACAGAGGTAGGGGGGTTCTGTGGGAGCGGATGGTGAGTACAGAGGTAGGGGGGTTCTGTGGGAGCGGATGGTGAGTACAGAGGTAGGGGGTTCTGTGGGAGCGGATGGTGAGTACAGAGGTAGGGGGGCTCTATGGGAGCGGATGGTGAGTACAGAGGTAGAGGGGTTCTGTGGGAGCGGATGGTGAGTACAGAGGTAGGGAGGTTCTGTGGGAGCGGATGGTGAGTACAGAGGTAGGGGGGCTCTGTGGGAGCGGATGGTGAGTACAGAGGTAGGGGGGTTCTGTGGGAGCGGATGGTGAGTACAGAGGTAGGGAGGTTCTGTGGGAGCGGATGGCGAGTACAGAGGTAGGGAGGTTCTGTGGGAGCGAATGGCGAGTACAGAGGTAGGGGGGCTCTGTGGGAGCGGATGGTGAGTACAGAGGTAGGGAGGTTCTGTGGGAGCGGATGGCGAGTACAGAGGTAGGGAGGTTCTGTGGGAGCGGATGGCGAGTACAGAGGTAGGGGGGCTCTGTGGGAGCGGATGGTGAGTACAGAGGTAGGGAGGTTCTGTGGGAGCGGATGGTGAGTACAGAGGTGGGGGGGGTTCTGTGGGAGCGGATGGTGAGTACAGAGGTAGGGAGGTTCTGTGGGAGCGGATGGTGAGTACAGAGGTAGGGAGGTTCTGTGGGAGCGGATGGTGAGTACAGAGGTAGGGGGGTTCTGTGGGAGGGGATGGTGAGTACAGAGGTAGGGGGTTCTGTGGGAGCGGATGGTGAGTACAGAGGTAGAGGGGTTCTGTGGGAGCGGATGGTGAGTACAGAGGTAGGGAGGTTCTGTGGGAGCGGATGGTGAGTACAGAGGTAGGGAGGGTTCTGTGGGAGCGGATGGTGAGTACAGAGGTAGGGGGGTGTTGTGGGAGGGGATGGTGAGTACAGAGGTAGGGGGTTCTGTGGGAGCGGATGGTGAGTACAGAGGTAGGAAGGGTTCTGTGGGAGCGGATGGTGAGTACAGAGGTAGGGAGGTTCTGTGGGAGCGGATGGTGAGTACAGAGGTAGGGAGGTTCTGTGGGAGCGGACGGTGAGTACAGAGGTAGGGAGGTTCTGTGGGAGCGGATGGTGAGTACAGAGGTAGGGAGGTTCTGTGGGAGCGGATGGTGAGTACAGAGGTAGGGAGGTTCTGTGGGAGCGGATGGTGAGTACAGAGGTAGGGGGGTTCTGTGGGAGGGGATGGTGAGTACAGAGGTAGGGGGTTCTGTGGGAGCGGGATGGTGAGTACAGAGGTAGAGGGGTTCTGTGGGAGCGGATGGTGAGTACAGAGGTAGGGAGGTTCTGTGGGAGCGGATGGTGAGTACAGAGGTAGGGAGGTTCTGTGGGAGCGGATGGTGAGTACAGAGGTAGGGAGGTTCTGTGGGAGCGGATGGTGAGTACAGAGGTAGGGAGGTTCTGTGGAGCGGACGGTGAGTACAGAGGTAGGGGGGTTCTGTGGGAGCGGACGGTGAGTACAGAGGTAGGGGGGTTCTGTGGGGAGCGGATGGTGAGTACAGAGGTAGGGGGGTTCTGTGGGAGCGGACGGTGAGTACAGAGGTAGGGAGGTTCTGTGGGAGCGGATGGTGAGTACAGAGGTAGGGGGGTTCTGTGGGAGCGGACGGTGAGTACAGAGGTAGGGAGGTTCTGTGGGAGCGGACGGTGAGTACAGAGGTAGGGGGGTTCTGTGGGGAGCGGACGGTGAGTACAGAGGTAGGGGGGTTCTGTGGGAGCGGACGGTGAGTACAGAGGTAGGGAGGTTCTGTGGGAGCGGATGGTGAGTACAGAGGTAGGGGGGTTCTGTGGGAGCGGATGGTGAGTACAGAGGTAGGGAGGTTCTGTGGGAGCGGATGGTGAGTACAGAGGTAGGGAGGTTCTGTGGGAGCGGATGGTGAGTACAGAGGTAGGGGGGTTCTGTGGGAGCGGATGGTGAGTACAGAGGTAGGGAGGTTCTGTGGGAGCGGATGGTGAGTACAGAGGTAGGGAGGTTCTGTGGGAGCGGATGGTGAGTACAGAGGTAGGGGGGTTCTGTGGGAGCGGATGGTGAGTACAGAGGTAGGGAGGTTCTGTGGGAGCGGATGGTGAGTACAGAGGTAGGGGGGTTCTGTGGGAGCGGACGGTGAGTACAGAGGTAGGGAGGTTCTGTGGGAGCGGATGGTGAGTACAGAGGTAGGGAGGTTCTGTGGGAGCGGATGGTGAGTACAGAGGTAGGGGGGTTCTGTGAGACCGGATGGTGCTGTCACTTCAGCCTCGCTTCTGTGTTTATAAGAGACAGTAGATATAGGTGTGCGCAGGGTCAGAGGTGGCGGAATGGCGTTCCACGATGTTCCGGCTGAAAAAAAAGCCCTGATCACAACTAGGTCTTATTTTCGGGGTAGTTCTTATTTTAGGGGAAACAGGGTATATATTTATTGAAATATATTTTAAAATATATTGAATACGGCCAAAATTGTAGCATTTCAAATATATGTCAATATATTTGGGAAGAATATTTTTCAAATATATTTTTCTTCCTTATGGGTACATATGGAACTCCTGGATTTCCAGCTACTTAGATGGAAATCAAAATGAATCACTGTGGAAAATTTAACCCTCTACAAGCCACTATCTGGGGATCCACCCCCATGGATGGGGATCGATACTGGCCCAGCTCCAACCCATTACCCTGCCTCCCTGCTCTCTATTCCCTATTTCCTTGCTTTGACTATTTTTTTTTTTTACTATTCTTATGTTAGAATTCGACTGGAATTACACTTTAAGCTTGCCATGTAAAATAGCGGCCTGTTTTTATTTGACTAAATACTACACCATCTTTAGTTTGACCTGCGCAATAGCTGACTTTTAACCAAAGTTCCACATTTGTAAGTAATTCTAAATCATTATTTGTTTTTCATTATTTCTTTTAATTTAATAATTGTTTTTTAATTATTTCTTTTTAACTTTTAGACTCTCAGTTTTCGAAAGAATCCATTATATGGCCATAACAACAACATTTATTTATTTATTTTTTAAGCGTTGTTCTTGGAAATCCTGCCCTGTTTTGAAGACGAAGGTACAGAACCGTCTGTTCCCTGCAGTTCTGGTGGACGACCTCTAATATTTGTTCGTAATGACCTGCTAATACTGTGAATTGAAGGAGTGTTTGTTGTAAGGCAGTGGAGAGAGCGTGGAGCATCTGCCAAACATTTGCTGGTGTGATGTGTTCTCCTAGGAGGACTGACGAGAAGCTCCGCCAAACTCCCCTCTGCTTTCTTTTCTGGTTACGGATGGAAGTAGCAGATCCTTTAAAAAATTAAAGGCGATGACGGCCGTATCGGGCGCAATTTATGGCTGCGTTCAAGGAAGCGTTCTCTGGTGGCTTGTTTCTAGACATTTCGGAACAGTTAAACCTCCAATGAACTCGGAGGAACACACGATGTCCTGAACGCCTCGGTTTCCCACACACAAGCTGCTCTTCGATTCCGTGAATTTGAGGTCATTTTCTCCCCAATGGCACCTGTAGGAGTTATTGGAATCCCATCCAGAATCCTCGGAATCACTGGACTCATGACCATAGTCTCAGCTTTTCCCATATTGGAAGCTGGCGATCAGGGGCGGACTGACAACTCATGGGGCCCCCCGGGCAATAGGGGATCATGGGGCCCCTGTGTCCTCACCCACACTCAAAACCACACGCAAAAAAGCCTATGAAAGGTACTAGGGGCATCTCATGGGGCCCTCTACTGACCCTGGGCCTTCGGGCACTGCTCTAGTGCCTGAGTGGTCAGTCCGCCCCTGCTGTCAATAATAAAGGGGCTGTTTATAACTAAAGCCAGGAATATACGGTAAGAAAATTGTACAAACAAACAAACAATTTAGTTGATCGAATTTCGTTGATGAGCAGGATGTTATAACTGATAACGATATTGTGAATGAAAAAATCTGGTTGAACAACAGTGAAAAATGTTGTTTCGCATGCAAACGACTGATTTTCTATGCGGTGTTACGACGGTCCTCCAAAAAAAATCTTTCAAGCGCTATCACCCATGATGACCCGGATGTTTATGTCCAGAAATCCAATTTAATCCAATTAATTCCAAGGATTTATGTCCATTTGCTCGTTCTAGGCGGCAGGGCATTGAGCGCTCGTTCTGGCCGGAAGGGCGTGGCTGCAAGGTCACACACACACCGCATCACTTCCACTTGTACGGAAGACGTCAACAGTACATATTGCTCGACGAATGATTTTTTTCAATTGGTTAATGTGGGCCACGATTTCGACCAACGAACGAGCGCCGATCGGTCGTCGGATGACTGATCGGTTGATTTTCTTACCATGTATTCCATTAGGCCTCTTTCACACGGGCGTTCCATATGGCCGTTTTCATTTGTCCGTTTACAGATGAAAAACGGACATTCATGTAGTTCTACATGGATGGTCGATTGGTCGATTTTTTTACCGAGTATTCTTGCCATAAGGAAGTGCTACATTTTTTAATTTTCCGAATACACCAAGCACTAGTTTTCCTTTTTAAAGTGGTCCTAAAGCCTAAACTTTTTTTACCTTAATGCATTCCTTGCAAGACATCAGTAATCCCCTGACTCACCTGAGCCCTCATTTGTTCCAGTGCTGTGCACACCTGCAGCTCCTCTCTCCCTTCACTTCCATCTCTCGTTGGCTTCGCTAGGACACCGGGAGCAGACGGTTCCCAGCGCTGTCAATGAAAGTCAATGGTGAGGGAATGGGGGGGGGGGGGGAGTCCTGCTGTTGATGGACGCAGCAGCAGGACTCAGAAGGGAGCACGACCAAGTGCCCCCACGGGAAGCAGCACATCCAGCACCCAGCTCCTCTCTCCCTTTACTGTTGTCTCTCGCTGGCTTTGCTGGGGCACCGGGAGCCATTGGCTCCCAGCACTGTCAATGAAAGCCAGTGCCGAGAGAGCAGGGGGGCCAAGCTGGGTCCCGCTGTCAATGGACACAGCAGCAGGACTCAGAAGCGAACACGCACGAGTGCCCCCACGGGAGGCGGCTTTCTGTGGGGGGCACTGGATAACGAGGAGGAGCCAGGAGCATTGGCGGGGGACCCGAGAAGAGGAGGTTGGCTGGTGCTCTGTGCAATTGTAAGTATAGAGATGTTTGATGGAAAAAAAATGACCTTTACAATTGCTTTATGACTCGAATTTACAGTAGAGCTACTATAGGAAATGCTTTTAGGTGTGTGCAGTGCGGGACAAGGTCATGCAGTGCCCAGCTCCTCTCTCCCTTCAATTCCATCTCTCGCTGGCTTTGCTGGGGCACCGGGAGCCATTGGCTCCCAGCACTGTCAATGAAAGCTAGTGCCGTGGGAGCAGGGGGGCAGGGCCGAGTCCCGCTGTCAATGGACACAGCAGCAGGACTCGGAAGCTAGCCCGCACAGGTGCCCCCACGGAAAGCGGCTTTTTGTGGGGGGCACTGGACAAAGAGGAGGGGCCAGGAGTGCACATGTGCTACTACTTGTGAAATCTGTGAATGATCACAGAGGTCACATGGTACAGGGCTATTCACAACAGCCTTGTTACCATGTGACAAGCTGTGACCAATCACAGCTCTCACAGTATTTCTCAATGGCTGCAAGAATGCAGTGTCAAGGTCCTACCTTTTCCCAGAGGTTATGTTACTCCATGTGCTAGCATCCATCTTGGATTTCTGCTGAGCATGATGGGAATCTTTTATGCCTTCAGGTCTCTGAGGTCCATCCCCCAGAGGGGTGTGGCTGAGTACATATAAGCCTGGGATCTGCACATGCTCTTTGCACTTGTGTCTTGGTCTTGGTCTTGCTACAGCTCTGTGTATACGCTCGTGACTCTTCTGGTATTTTGACTCGGCTTGTACTAAGACCATTCTCTGTGTTTCTCTTTGATCTGACCTTCCGTTGCTGAACCCGGCCCGTGACCTGTGATTCTCTGTCTACTGTTCTGTAATGTTTTGTCCCGTTGTTATTGACCCGGCTTGTCTGACTACGCTATTGTCATTCTCACCAGCTACACGCCATTGGCGGCGGCATCTGGGGTGTCTCGGGGGCCGCGACCTGGTCCCTGGTTGCGTCAAGTCCATCCCCACCATCAGGGGCCCTGGTGAAGGGCAGCCTGGGACTTAGACTCCGCGCCCTGAGGGACTTCAGTCTGTTGGTGGTGGTTGTCGTCAGCCAGTGCGTTACCCTGCCACTAGGCCTACCTGTCCGTTCCACAGCCCTGCCCTGACATTACACAAGTGCCATGAATCCTGACGGTGCAGGTACGCCTTCACTTCCAATGTTGGTCGCCAGACTGGATCAACAGGATCTCCTGTTGGATCAGTTCGCTCAGGCGTTGCAAACTCTGCTGGCACGCACCGCGCACCTTACTCCTGGTGTTATTAGGCCGGTTGTCACTCCGGTGGTCGCTCCCGCTGCTGTTCCGCTTGCTGTGCCTACCGCCGCGGCTGATGCGGCACCCGCGGTGTCCAGAGGTATGACCGGTTCAGCCCCTCTTCCACAGCGCTTTGGGGGTGAGCCGAGTCAGTGTCGTGGGTTCCTTAACCAGGTGGGGATTTACTTTGAATTAATCCCCTACGCTTTTCCGACTGAGAGGTCAAAGGTGGGTTTCCTCATCTCACTACTCTCAGACAAGGCCTTGGCCTGGGCGAATCCCTTATGGGAGAGGAATGACCCTGTGATTCACGAGTTTTCCGGTTTTGTTCGATGCCTTCCGTAGGGTATTCGATGTACCGGCTCGGCTCGCTCGCCTCGGCTGCCAAGCTGCTCATGTCTATGCATCAGGGTTCACGGACCGTGGCCGAGTACGCCATAGAGTTTTCGTACCCTGGCAGCAGAGGTGGGTTGGAACAATGAGGCTCTGGTGGCTGCGTTTTCTCAGGGTCTTTCTGATGCATTGAAGAACGAGATCGCAGCCAAGGAATTGCCTGTGGAGCTGGAAGCACTAATTTCCTTCCTGATCCTGATTGATACCAGGCTCAGGGAGAGGCCTTTCACTCAAGGAACGCCTGCGGAGGCCTTCCAATCGACTGGCACCTGATTTTTTCTATCCCAACCCTTTCCTCCCTCTCCTCCCACGCCTCCTGGGGATAGATTTGTCTGGTGGTGAGCCCATGCAGCTGGGGTTTGCTCGCCTTTCCGAGGGAGAGCTGGGCCCGCTCGGTGTCGGGAGGGTCGCTGCCTGTACTGTGGTCTTGGTGGGCACTTTCGGCAGTCCTGTCCGGTCCCCGTCCGGGAAACGCTCGCACCTGAGATCCTGTCGGGGACAGATCTTGGGTGGAGTCTCCCTCGTCCCCGGCGTTCCGCAGAGCTAAGCCACTGATCACCGTTGTCCTCTCTTGGGCGGAGGGCTCGGTGACGGCCCAGGCGTTGGTAGATTCTGGGGCTCGCCGGCGGGTTGTTTATGGACAGCTCGTTTGCTGCCCAGCACTCCATTCCCCTGCAGGCTCGAGTTACCCCATTGGTTCTCGAGAGGCGATAGATGGCAGGGCCCCTGCAACCACCGCAGGTTACCCACGAGACTATGCCTGTGAGTTGAAGTAGCTATTGGGGCTGTTTCACAGGGAGTTGGTGCCTGTTTCCAGGTGATTTCTTCTCACGCACTATTCGGTGGTTTTGGGGTATCCCTGGCTCCCAGATGCACAATCCAACCTTCAATTGGCAAACTGCGAGATTCTCTCGTGGGTCTCCACAGTGTGGGGCCGGGTGCATCCGTGGGCCGGTTAAGGTGTTGTGTGCCTCCTCGGACTCTGCGTTGCCCACTGATTATGGGGAGTACCAGGACGTGTTTGATAAGGTACGCGCTGGTGCCTTACCTGCTCATCGTCCTTACGACTGCGCCATATCCTTGCAACCCGGTGCCACTCCTCCCACCGCGTGGCAGGGTGTATCCCTCTCTCAGTTGCTGCAGGAGAATAAGGGCCATGGAGGAGTACGTTGCGGACATGCGGATGCGCTCTTCCCGGGGGCACATTCGTAAGTCTACTTCCCCAGCAGGAGCGGGCTTTTTCTTTGTAGAAGAATAGGGTGGTGAATTGAGCCTTGCATCGATTATAGGGGTCTCTAAATCGAATCACCACTAAGAATGCATACCCGATTCCCTTGATTTACTGAGTTGTTCGACGTCGACCGCCTTAAGAAGGGGGGCAACAGTCTTTACCAAACTTGACCTTAGGGCGGCGTACAACCTCGTACGGATCAAACAGGGGGATGAGTGGAAGACCGCGTTTAACACCAGAACCGGGCACTACGAATTACCTGGTGATGCCCTTCGGGTTGTGTAACGCGCCCGCAGTTTTTCAGGAATTCATAAATGATGTCCTTCGTGACTTGTTGCAGCAGTGCAGTAGACGTGGCGTGGTAGTTTACTTGGATGACACTCCTGGTTTACTCTGCCTCCATGGAGTCCCATATCCAGGATGTCAAGCAGGTGCTGCAACGATTACGTGTTGGAACGAACTTTTTTGTAAACTTGAGAAGTGCGAATTCCATCGATCCCAAGTTGCCTTTTTAGGCTACATCATTTCTGCGGAGGGATTCTCCATGGACCCTCAGAAGGTTTCGGCAGTTTTGCAGTGGCCTCGTCCCAATGGTCTTTGGCCCATTCACAAGCGCTTTTTGGGTTTTGCCAACTACTATCGGAAGTTCATCAGGAACTTCTCCACGCTGGCAAAACCTCTCTCAGACCTAACCAAGAAGGGCAGCAAATCCTCACGAGTGGCCATCCTCTGAGGGCCATCGTAGCTTTTGAGGCTCTGAAAATCCGCCTTCG